GTGTGTGTGTGTGTGTGTGTGTGTGTGTGTGTGTGTCTACATTAGTCTGCTGGGGATGTTCTCAAAATACACCCATCAGTTATCATATGCACATTAGTCGCATTTAATGATGACGTAAGAGCTTTCAGTTCATCTAACATGCTTGTTTTTGTACCATCTTGTATCAAAGTCTTCTCGCTTTGTACATTTTTCCAAAGCATTGCTAACAAGAGTTGTAGAGAAATTAATAAAGCTCATATCAAAGTGAATAACAGGTGTGCGACACTGTAACTGCTATAACCAAGCTAACACTTCATAGGTTTTTTTATAAAGGTACATTTGGAATAGAAAAATGAAAAGTCCACYCAGCTCAATTACAATATTCTTATTTTTCAGTCACGATTGAACTCAATTGTGTTCATGTGCAGATGAACTCACTTTATGCCACTTCAAAAAGACACGACTCCGTTACTCTTAAGTTACAAAGACTCTCCCCTCATTTTTACAGCAGCTGTAAAAATGCTAGCAACTGCAGTGAATTAAACTTTGGAGCGTTTACGACAGAGTTCTGTGTAAACAGTGATTCTGGAGACCATTAAATCTCATTAAACCATCACACATCCACTTATTTTGTCTCTGTGTTTCTACGAGAGCAGAGCGGGAAAGAATGCGAAAAATGATTAACAGCCTGAGCAGGAAGAAGTTATGAAAATGTAAAGTAATAAAAATAATAATAAATAGTGAAATTTCCATTAAATGGATAAAAAAACGTGCCTGGAGTGTAGCAAGAACACTTCTAAAAGCTTTTTTTTTAATCTCAGACCAATGTTTGGGGTTTGTTTTATCGTAATCACAGTATTTGTTGTTGTTGTTGTTTTCAGTGCGTTAAAGAATTTGTTGCTCAGTCTCATTTCCAGCTCTGAACAGAGTTTGTGAGAATATTGTTTTGTGTTCAACTCAGGAAGGAAATAAGTTGTGAGTAATGTACAAAAACRTGTTTAGTACAAGGTAAATATGAGTTTGCCGACAAATCTGTTTGAATAACAGTTTACCTTTTAAAAGCCCCGACAACAAACTCCAACTTATGAATCATTCAAGCATGAAAAATCATGTAAACCTAAGGCAGTGCTTCCAAATAAACAACTTAGCAAAGAGTTTTACATTTTTATCTTTTGGCTTTAGGTCCATCCCTTAAAATGTAGTGGCTTATATTTTATGCTTGAATAATTCACTGATCAGTAGCAAAAGCCCCATAAATAAATGGATAAGGCTTCTGAAAATGGTCAAAGAAAAACAACTGGACTAAACAAAAAGGACTAAAAGGAGGAGTTCATGAAAGAAATGTTTTTGGAAGGCCTTTGGAAAGAGCTACAGCTCAAAATTAACTGAAAAGATTTGAGTCCTTGGAAGCGAGATATTAAGAAATGAGCTGTAGCACATCTTTGCACAGCTCTGCACAGACAAACAAGGAGGAAAGGTTAACGGCAACTAAACAGCTGAAAGAGGCAAACGTCCTTGTAGTTTTGGAATTGATAAAAATAAATACGACTTAAAGCTTTTCCAGCTCAACTTAGCATGTCCGTAATTGTTATAGAGAAGTACGAGACTGAGTGAGTTTAAAGGGGGTATTCCGTATTTTCCAGCCACATAGTTCAATTAAATACCACAATCAAGTAATTATGTTGCCTTCAGTTACGAAAACGCTGTTTATATAAAACAAATTAGACTTTGAATCTAAAYGTCTTGAAATTGGCTTCTGCCTCTTTAAGAACCTCCTACCATTTCTGACAATACCACTTCAGCACGTCTTCACAATGCTTCATGCCGTTTACAACCTTTTGTAGTTGTGTTGTATTTTGTTGTAAAAAAAAAAGAAACATTTTATAATATCGGTTTTGAAACTCTGGATGCAGTTGAACCGCTCTCAAATGATCCTGCGTCGGGCCTGGAAACTACGTTTTTCGGAGGAACTGGAGCGAGTACAGAGGCTCTTTAAAACCATCACAGCTTTGTAACTCACCTCCCAGTCATCCTCTCATACGWGCATGTCAATGTTGAGCTTCTTTTTACAAATAAAGTTTTGCAACGACTTCGTGAACAGCCGCCGTTTTCACGACGAGTTCGGCTATTCTGGAGGGGCTGTATAGGAGAGGCGCGGGGTGGGGGGGTGCTCTGTGGGGCAGGAGCTTGGTGAGGGACAGATTCAGGGAGGAGCTATGGGGAAATAGGCGGAGCTTTGTATGAGCAAGGCTGTTCCGAACGGCTATCACAGGAGATTCAGGGATCTCTCAGACATGCATGAATGAGTCAAAGCAACACTCTGGGTGTGTTTTTGATGAGGGGTTTAAAAGTTGCATTACACCCCCACCCCCTTTAAAATGACCCTGATGACACTTACTCTATGAAGTAGACTTCTCCTTTTTCGGTGTAAGCCATCTCCCAGTTGTCCGGCAGCGGCCCTAGCTCATCATTCTCCTCCGGTTTGGGCACCACCGTCTTCGGGGATTGTCCGTCCTCTTTGGGCACGTCCAACAGGGCCTCCGTCGGGTTACTCAGAGGGGCGGCGTCCCCCGAAGCGTCCGTACTCTTGTCCTCGTGTTCGCTCGACTCTGGAGGYGACAGCACGCAGGGGTGAGTCAAACGGGCATTAACAACGAGGAAGAGTGAAAGGCAGCTGGGATGGAGGCAGAAAAGTAGAAAGAGGTAATTAGAAAAGTATGAGAAGTGGTGACTCAGGAGAAAAAAGTAAAACAGGAGAGGGRCCGGGGGGTGTGGTGGTGGTGGTGATGGTGGTGGGGGAGGGGGATGTAAAGATTGAGATGTGCTGCTTTGAGTCATGGTGCAGAAATAGAAAAAGAAGTGGGAGCCCTTCCCAGAGGAGAGGAGGACAAATGAAAGCGGAGGATTGAGAGATAATCTATGGGAGGGAAAGTGAGAGTTACTGATCTGCTTAGATCACAGACACTGCTGGGCTCGATCGATTCCCCTTCAGCTGCGCTGGTCAGCCCCTCGCTGTCCAAGCCACAGACAAACAGCAAGTATTGAGCTGAGAGCAGCAGCGCCCTGTAACATCCAACAAACGTCACCGGGCAGCCTGCAGGAAGAACTTATTGATAGGATTCAGCTGAGAGTTTCTCCTGTTCCTRCATCTTCTCTTAACTCAGAGCCACAAAAACAAATTATGTCACCGCTGAGGGTTCCCTTAGTTTGTAACGCACCATGTACACTCAAGTCGAGTCAAGTCAAATATAAGTGACTTGACTTCACTTGGGCTTATTGATTTCGTTTTCCCCACACAGCTTTTTTACATTTTCTCTTTGTTTAGTAAATGATGACAATTTAATCTGTTTGTTTTGCACAAAACGCAATTTAAACAACTTTAGAATCTGGTAAAAACCAGATCAGTTTTTAAAAATATGTCCTTATATTTACAGCCTTAGTATGGAGCTCGTCCGGTGATATTGGATAACAGAAATTTAATGCGTGGCCACCAGATTACTCGTGACCACAAGCTAATTTTGAGCCTCTGTGTCTTTGTAAGAAATGTGTTAGATTATATATGAATACACAGTTTTTGTTTGTAACTGTTCAAAGTTACCCCACTGCTTGGGCAGTATGATGGTGTAACGCGGTATTAAAAAATGGTGACTGCTTTTAAAAATTACGACATGAGGGGAAGGCTGCTATGAAAACTGGGACTGCTTCTCCCACAGTATATTTCTAACTTCCTGGGTTTTTTCCACTGATTTTTTTAGGCTTCAGATGCTGAATGACTCAAACTACAGGGCTTCTGCTCTCACGTTTTAGAAGTTCCAAACTCTTTGCATAMGTAACCTTTAACCAATCAATTGTTGCTTCACGAGAACAAATAATTTGCAAACCTCCTCAAGTTGGCTGAAATACCATTTTTGTTCTTTTAGTTTACGTCTAATGCCATTTCTCTTTAAAATGTTTTCAGTCTACTTATTCTGCTTTCCTGCAAAATTTACTGACTCATCTTGTGAAGGAGTTTGCAAAACAAAAATGTCATATTCAAAACTAAATTTACCTCAAATTATTCTTGGTATACGACATTTAATCTGAGAGCGACATTCACTTATTTCCTTACCTTGTTTGAGCTCATTGTGGTAGAAAAACAAATATCTCATGCTTCAACTCAACTGTCTTTCTCCAAAAAAAAAAAAAAAGAGAAGAAAAATCACTTCAAGGGTTTCAAGGAGGAGTTGAAAATCCAGCTCAAACTTGTTCGAAGCCGAGTGCGATCTGCTCGAGGTTTTTGTGCGGGGGCCTCGGTGGAACTGTGAGAGTTTCCCAAGGCCATGAAAGCAGTTTCGAAAGTCACAGGACCACAGAGTGGGTTGAAGTTTGAAATAACAAAAATTAGACTCATAAAGCCCTCTTTTATGATTCGGCATTCATGTGATTTGATGCACTCAAAAGGCTTGTTGTGTACAAGTGTGGCCGAGCTTATCAAACTAAGTGACGATATTAGAAGGCGTAATTAGATGTGAGAAGCAGTCAGGTGTGATCTGTTGACTTTAGAAGCAACAAGCAGTCTTTAATCCAGTGACGACAGCATTTATCCCTGTCAAATAAACTTTAACTAACTAATGAGAACAGACAATGAGGATCACAGCTGTGTTCCTATCACTGCGTTAATGTAGACAAAACTAAGACCTAAAAAAAGAAAAATCTTTGTCACATTATAGCTGATAGTTTTCCAATTACTGTCTATTATTATATAATTGGATAAATCAATTTTGACAGCAAAATAGAAGCAGAAAGCGCAACAGTGACAAAACCTTGATACACCTCATAAAATGTCACAAGTTAAGATGTTTGGAGAAACTACAGCAGCTTAAGTACAGTTGTTTAAAAATTCCTCTGGGGGGAGGGGGCCTTCAATTATTACTCTGTTCTTTGTGCCTCAAGGCTTTTTAAACACAGCTGTAACGCAAGATTATGGAGCTAAAACTGGGCCATAAGGTTTGTTTAGAACATTTTTCTTTTAAAATGAAAGAAAAATTTTGGAACAAAAAATATGGTTTGAAAAAAAAAGAAGAAAAAACTTAAAGGCACAGTGTGTAGGAT